TGGACAAGACAATACAACTAGGGTGTATCAGTTATACCAAGAGTACTTCAATTTGAAGCAAGGGAGTCAAAGCTTGGAAGAGTACTATGCAAGTTTGAGGAACATTCGTAATGAGCTCAATGTGTATCACCCTCTAACATCAGATGTCTAGATCTAACAACAGCAACGTGAACAGCTTGATGTGACTAGGTTTCTTGTGGGCTTGAAGGCTGAGTATGAGCCTGTCAGAGCACAGATATTGGAAGGATCAGCTCTCCCCTCACTTGAAGAAGTTTTTGCCCGTCTTAAGAGGACATCCATTGAGCCRGTGGAACATTCTTCCTTCTCTGATAGATCTGGTTTGGTAGTGACTAAAGGGAGTGGCCATGGAAGTAGAAGTGGTGGTGGCAGCAGTGGCCCTCCAAGCAACCGTGGTGGACACATGTTTAACCGAGCTGGTGGCCGAACTATAGGCCGAGAGTCAGGGGGAGGCCGTGGAAAAGGAAGGAGTAATGCTCAGAGAAAATGTACACATTGTGGCTTAGAGGGGCACACAGTTAATTTCTGTTATGATTTGCGTGGTCCACCCAACACTTGGGCTAACCATGCTACATCTAAGAGTAGTAGCACAATTACTGAAAGCCAGCAAACTGCCCAACCCCCTCCACACCCGCTTGTGCTTCCGGGCAGGAAATGGTGAGTGTACCACGGGCAGTATATGAGCAGTTCCTTCAAACATCTCAGCAGAACACAGCTACACTTGCCCATTCAGGTATGACTTGCTTAGCTTCCAAAGCCTCACCCTGGATCATTGATTCCGGAGCCTCCGACCATATGTCTAGGACTCCTGATGTATTTTCTTCCCTTTCTCGCTCCTCCACATCTCAGACAGTTACACTTGCTAATGGTTCTACATCTCCTATTTGTGGTGTTGGTGATGTTGATCTCTCCTTGTCTTTAGCATCTGTTTTATATGTTCCTAAGTTCCCTTTTAACCTTATGTCTGTTAGCGGCTTAACCAAGTCCCTTAATTATTCCGTAACCTTCTATCCTTCTTCTTGTGTGTTTCAGGATCTCAAGAAAGGGAAGAAGATTGGTGGAGGGCATGAAGCAGGTAGTTTGTATTACCTTGATGGTGGTGGCCCCCCAGTGGCTTTTCA